TTTTTTTCAGATTACTGGACATTACGAAAACACACCGAGTCTGGATCTAGTGATAAAGAAAACTAGGAATAGAATATATTATTAGAATTAATTGTCAATCAAAAATGGCAGGCTTCTAAATTATTAAAGAGAACCAATTTTATTATTTAATTATTTACGTATTTAGTTAATCATATGTGTGTACGCTTAATTAATATAATAATATGAATACAATTAATCAAATTAATAATATTAATAGAAAAAATGGCGAGTAAGTTTGACGTGGGACTTGCAAAATATCTGTACTAAATTATCTCTTATTTTTCAAAAAGAAAAAGATGGGAAATGTACAAGATTCAACAGTGAAAGCCAACATTAATCTTAAATGAATTTACTCGAATCAATAAAGGACAAAATAATAATAAAAATCTTAGCTTTACAAAGCGCGGGAAAATATAAAAATAATTTACGAAGAACAATTCATCATATAATTATGCTTTTATTTGTCTATTTGAAGGAATAAATTTATGTTTTTAATCTATCCAAAGTTTATAGTTGACCACCTAATCAATCCCACCGAATAATCCAAAAACGTCTATAAGTTCGCATAAAAACAAATGTATATTATTTTTAAAATAAATTAAAAAAAACATGTTTTTTTTTAATTGAAACTTTTGCTAAGAAATGACTATTTAAACATCATTACCCACTAAAAGCTCCATACTGTCTTTGTATCAGTTAATAACCAATTATAAAAAACAAGGAAATGTTCGCTAAAACTATATAAACAAAATATTTTGGTATCAAAATTAAATCTTGCTATATAAGAGGCTAAAATTTAGAAAACGAAATTATCTTTCATAATTTTTATTACATCTTATCTATTAACAAAAATAGATAAAAAAATATTCATAGGAATTATCATTTTGTTTCATTAAGTATACAAAAATAGCAACGGATTATACATCTCATAAATGTAAGTATACATTTGTATACAACTAAAGAAAAGAAAATAATAATAAATGTAAAATTATTTCCAAAATTATTTTACATTTTTTCATAAAGTTATCAAAATTACCTCGAAACTACGAATTTAAAATGCAACATACAGATTAAAAACTCTTTGTAACGTAGAATCTAGTCTGTGATCTCTGCAATAATTAATATACGCTAGTTCGTATTCTTCCTTATAATTCTGTCCCTTAGTTCTTAAGTTAATTAAGAAAAGACTAATTATTAGTTAGTGAATGGTTTTTGTATTTAAATGTACTAAATTAGTTGTAAATATCTTGGAATTGGTTTTTAATGTATTTAAAATTGATCAAAATAAATTTAAATGTAAACTTTCAATTGTTTTAATCTTTTTTTAAAACTAAAAATAAATTCTTAAAATGTAATTTTGAATTTAAAATTTTATAATTTTGTAAATGTATTTTGTAATTTTAAAATTATTTCCAGGAAAATTTGTAAATAAAATAATAAAGTTATAAAAATGCTTTTAATATAATTTCAATTAAAATATTGACAAATAAAATGTGTTTTTTTTATTCTTATTATGTTAAAACTAGCGGTAGCCAGCGACTGCGTCCACGCGCAGTTAAAAAAAGGTATCGCCTATGTGCTATTCCAGACTATGTTCTACATGTATGCCAAATTTCATGACGATCCATTCAGCCGTTCTGGACATATCTTCAAACAACCATTATATCCATCCATCCAAACATTCACATTTATAATATTATTATAGTAAGAAGTTTTGCTTCTAAATGTAATAAACTTAATCCAACTTTAAAACCAAATAAAAGTTCTTAAGAAATTCTTAAGAAAGAAAGGCATGGTATGAGTCAACGTGTCCCGACTTGACTCATACTGGGAAGACTGATTCATGAATTCCTGGTTCTACTAAATCACTGTTGTACTACCGGTCACTTTAAATATCGTTTTTTTTGTTGGAATACGATTGACTACCGAGATAAGTTCACATGAGAGATTTATGATACGGTTTTAGATAAAAAAGGCTGGAGTCTATTTTTTTAGCTGGATAAAAAGTCAATTTCGGACGCTATTTGATCATTTAAAATAACAGTGAACTTATTTTGGTATATTTTACAAAGAAAACTTCACTTGTGACTAACAAAATATAACAGAATTATTAAAATAAAAATTATAAGAAAACAAAAATGCCGTATCAAGCTTGTCTTATAAAAGCGCCTAATAGAATAAAATAGCAAATAAGTCGATCGTCTTTTCTACTTCTTAAGATGATACCAAGGAGTATTACTAAGATTTTGATTCATTTCAAAATTAATATTTATAGAATGAATATAAATTTATCATGTTTCATTAATAACTTACATATTTGATCTAGTATTAACTGTAATCAAACCCTACAGAAAATATCTACAGAACGATAAAATAAGAGAAGACATGATTTGGAAACAACTAAAAGTGAGGCGCCTTAAACAAACAACTTAGCAATTGACACGATCTATATCTTACATCTGCGATGGAGAATCTACGTCGGTGAAACAACAAGAGCACATGTTATTTACGTTAGTGTTATAAATTTTAGTTGCCATGATGGTCGCCAACCTAGGATAAGTGATGACACACAAAGAAGGAGAATAATTGAATCGATTGTCTAACGTACTTATCACTTCTTTAAAAACAAACTTCAAGAAAAGGCCAAATAAAAATTTAACAAACATTTGTATATAATTATACTTTTGAGCGCACTTTAGATATTTATAATTTATCTAATTTCTGTGAAATTATGGCAACGGAGAAGCTTTTAATAAACTTTAAATATTTTTACTTAAGAAGCGTAATCTTCAGATGACAAAAATAAATAATTGCCGCAATATATTTATAAGGCGTTCTAAATAATTGCTTTACAATTGTAGTCAATACAAATAAGGTTTATATTGAAGATTTGGTTGAGATGTAAATAGGCCACAACGTAAATTTTACAATCTCATCGCAACTAATTAAGGTAAAAAAATCTGAAATAAATTGTTATAATATCTGACAACTAAAGTTATGTTTTTGTTTTTAATAATTAGCGTACTAAAATATGAAGTTCGACCCCAGCATTGTAGTAAAAAATAAACAGGTATGACCCGTGCTTAACAAATAAACCACAAAACATAATTATCGTGCAATTTAGTGATAATTTGCGGCCATTTGAATGTAAAATAGGGGAATATGTTTTGACGATTTTTACGTATACAATAGGAACTGATTGCATTTAAGGGATGGAGGGGAGAAATTTTATACTTGGTGCGTGCCGTATAGAAATTTGATTGACCATTGTCGGAGCACACCTTGAACGCATCTGGCCATTGTTAAGCGCCATCTGTGATCATATAATATGAACAAAGAATTGTGATCATTAATCCGGTTTCGATAATTTCTGTTGTTATTTGACGTGATTCACCGTCTCTCTACATTTTATGTCACTAATAAATACTGTCCCAATATAGTTTGCATTGGTATTTGTTAAATTTGAAATGATTTATTGTGTTTATTTTAAAAGGTCTAATAGTCCAAAATTTAAGATACTTTTGTGACTATTCGTCGCTAGATGGCGTTACTGGTTCTAAAATTACAACTATGAAAACAAAAAATTCAAGTTTATTATAATTTATTTCAATACGGATTGAAAATTCGCTTATGACTTCATTAATTTTATAAATTCGCAGTAATCGAAAAAAAGTTAAGATCCGTCTAATCCATATTTTATAAATAAAAGTTAAATAATTAGCTCCTTGATAAGGGTGACACACCGGATGTGACGTTGTAAATTCCGCGGCGATATTCCATCAAGAAACACACCGCATCCTCCCCTAAATTCCTTAATTTGCGATCGTCTTGTATAAATTTAACGCATCGCACGAAAGGGAGGTACCCGGTAATGCGCCTGCACAGTAAACGACACAAATTATGCGGTATTTCCTTTTATTACCTTCGCAGTGCAAGGCGGTTCGATTAAGTAATTGGTGTTGCATATAATGTTATAAATAAAGAAAATTATTTTATGACGGCAGCATTAAGATTTATAACAGAAATATTTAAATTTTAAATAGAAAATTGTCTGTTAAACTAACATAAAATAGATGTTTATTTATGTAGTTTGTGTTTGTTTAAGGTAAAGAAAAAAATTTCAGTCTTCTTTCTTCTTCTTCTTCTAGTGCCTCTTCAGTCTTGAAGGTTGGCCGCCAACTTGGAATACGGTCTTCTTTACGGAATACTAATTTTGTCGCCTCTAATCTAATTACAGATTTTGATATTGCTGTTGTGAAAGTGAAAGTGTCTCGAAAAAATAAAAACTCGTTTTATTGGTTTATCGTGGGTACTTTAATAAATTTTATTAACGAATAAAATAATCATATTTAGTGGAAGAAAAAAAATCATGGTGGCAATATCCTTGACAACACCATTATGAGCTCTGTTAAATTCTGTTCATGGATTTTCCTCTTGCAGTTGGTGAAATAATTTAAAACATGTTTTAAGGTATTGGTGCTACAAAGTGAAAAATATGTTGGTGGCACACATATTGCCACCATTATAAGGGTTAAATTCCTAGCAACGGTAACCGTTATTAAATAAGTCAAGCAAAGCCAGGAAGAAGCGGTAAGTTAGACATAAAAATTATTAAGGTTATCCTAACATCTTGTAGGGTAAACCACCCTCCAGGTGTCTTATAAATTGGAAAAAAGGTAATTTACCGACTACCCACTAGCCGGGTGTCTTATGATACATTGCAGGGAATGAAGACGAGCCTTAATATAGAGTTAACAACAATTAGAAGTTACAAATTAAAATAAATTTAAGTTGCCCAAATAAATCTTTTGTTTATAATAATGAAGGAGAATAAATATCTTAATCTTATATATAAAATTACCGTATCGCAATTTTCGTTCCCATACTCCTCCGAAACGGCTTGACCGATTCTCATGAAATTTTGTGACTATATTGAGTAGGTCTGAGAATCGGCCAACATCTATTTTAAATCCCGCGCGGACGTAGTCGCAGTCGACAGCTAGTATGATATAAAAAGACGGCTTCAAGATTATTTTTTTTTCATCATCTTTACTTATTCCCTTGCCTAACACCTAACATAATGGTGGAGAAATATAGATTCACTAGCTGTCGCCCGCGACTCCGTCAGCGTGCTATTATAACAAAACTTAATTAGCCCATGTGTTCTTCTAGACTATGTTCTACATCTATGTCAAATTTCAAAGAGATCCCTACAGTCGTTCTTGAGATACTTTCAAACAAACATCCATCCATCCATCCGTTCAAATAATTACTTTTATAATATTAGTAAGATATAACGATAATTTATTACTAGTAATCCTAATAAACCAGAGATAAGTAGGTACCATAAACAATTATATTATGTTTTATAATAAAAATTCAGTGTAAAGCCGGACATATCTAGTTGTTTTAAGGCTTCAACCAGATGGTAAAGTGGCGGTAAAGTACCCACCTGGTGACGTAAGCAGTCGCGCGCGTCGGGGTGGCGACCCCTTACGTCTTAGATTGGAACTGATATCACTAATTATTAGCTTCAGCTGATATGTGTGGAAATTAGATTAGTCCCGTACTTTATTTTTAATTGACATTGTAACATATTGCA